AAATATCCGCCGGATATTCGCTTCCCGTCCGTCTCTGTGCGTCTTCCTGCATCCGCGCTTAGAGCGTGCTTACTATATATATATATAAGGCTATACGCGAGTGTGCGTGCGTGTGAGTGCGTGTGTATCTGGAGAGAAATACGTACGGGCAGTCCCATCGGACCAGGATCTCCTTTGGCACCCTTTCTCTCCCTGCAACGTGAAAAAAGAAAAGGGCGACGCGTGAGAACGGGCTTACCCGCATCGCGATGGTGTCGCGCAACGCAAAAAGTCATCTCGCAAAGATCACCGACGCGATAGCTTTCACGCCCTCGGGAGTCCGCATCGCTAACGCGATCTTTCTCGCGAAGGGCGCGCGAAGAAATTACGACGGTCCTACTAGCGTTCACTTCGTCACTTTGACTTTTATATCTCGCGATTACGTCAAATTCTCTTTAATTTTATTTACACCTTTTCAATTCATACGACTGATCAGAATATTCGAAAATTAATAGAACGAATGTCATTTTTCCCTTTTTAATACGTTGTCATTTTTATTGTTTCACTGCGGCCACGAGCTAAATTAATATTAAAAAAAAAAAAAAAAAAAAAAAAAAGAATTTATCGTTGCGGTAAAAACCGAGTCGCTATAGTGGTTTTTTTAAATATTCAATAATAGCACGATGAAGATGCACTTAAAATAAAAAAGGTTTAGTTTTTATAGCGTTTTTGTGTGCAAAACAGCGATAGACAAACAGATCGATTTTGTTATTTGATGTTTACAACTCCGGAAAGGGAGAGAACTCGTTTATTTTCGGTCGCGTAACAACACGAACGGGTGTAACCGTGCTTTTTTTTACGTTCTACGTGTGATGTACGCGATCAACAGATAGATAATAGTTACTGACAGAATCGCCCTTGGCGCCGTCGTGTCCTCTGTCACCCTTGATGCCAGGTGGACCCTGTAATCCGGGAGTACCAGCGGGTCCTGGAGGTCCGGGCGGACCCATTATCTGTACATCGACAATTAAAAACAATTTGTGATCGATTTCGCGAACGGCAAAGATTTGCAAACATTTACAAACTTTGGATTTTACAATCTGTGTCCATCAAATCCATTAGAATTGTTACGATGGAATATAATGTGTTTTCACATTATTTTCTCAAAAATAAACCGATAAACGTAATATACCGTAAAAGCGGAAATACAAACGGATTTTATTCAACAATTTTTACAGCGCTTCGGGGAAATTGCTTTATAATATCCATAAATCGCCGCAAAGGGTTACATAACTCCATAAAACGCGGCCATAGCGAGGTATAAAGTCGATGCCGCAATAGCGACGTGGCCGAAAATTTAAAAGCCGCTCGAACACTACGGAGCGAAGCGATATTGTTCACAATATTTCTTTACACGGATGGGCGACACGTTTCCATATCATCTATATGACATTATAACTGAGAGGAATATAATTTCGTAAGATTATTTGCAAGATAACTTACCACTTCCCCGGCATTCATCTCAAACGTGCCATCTCCCTGCGAACAAACATGTAAATTTGACATGTTTACACGTGCATTAATATCGATGTATTAAACATTAGTTTTTTCGAGCATCCTCCTTCAATCGGACGACTCCTTTTGTCGCACGATCGAAGGATACGAAAGGATATGAAAATATTGTAGACGTAAACGGTCACGTACCTGTCTTCGTCTAAGCTTTTTGTACTTCTATGGGTGGAAGGCCGATGTCCCGCCATGAAAAGAAAATTTATTCTATCGTCAGATTCTGTTTAACACACACATACAATTATTGAAACCGCAGTTTCGTATTTATCGCGGATGTTATTGTGACGAAAATATGACGTTACATCGAGAAGATACAGTATTTTCGACAACGTACATATCGCGAAACACGATGTTCATCTGGAAAAATCATACAAGATTCTCCGATAATAGAATCTTGTTCAAATTTACTGGATTCTGAATAAAATGAATTTTTGCGAAATTGTTTCGCGACGAGATCATATTTCATTTTGTATTCTTAAATATGAAAAACACGAAAATTAAAATTGAAATTTATATAAATAACAAAATGTTTTATAACTTTGTCTAATTTACCGTATGTAAAATTCCTTATGTCCTCTTCGCTATTATTTATTTTTATATAATTTTTCAAAAATATATTCCTTCTATTATTCTCTTTTTATATAATAATTTTTTCAAGAATTTATTAGGTACCTGCACCATATTTTGAATCTCGAGCGGAATGCAATTCGATAAACGCAAACAACAGTGACAAATGTACTCACCGATTCGCCTTTCTCTCCCTTTTCGCCTTTCATTCCAGGATAGCCCTGTCGACAGGCAAAAATCGCATCAGACGAAATATACGATAAGAAAGAAAATCGCGTTGAGGCGTGACGTTACGGGCAATTTACGTACCGGTGGGCCGGGTAGACCCGGAGGTCCCATAAGACCTGGGGACCGATGTCACCGTAGTCACCTTTCTCACCTTTGGGTCCGGATATTCCCTGAAGCGAGACAGACGAGCGCGACGTATGTAAAATATATTACAGATTTAACTCTTCCTTAACTCCGGGAACATTTTCAAGGTTCCGCGCTTGCATTTTAAATCTCAGTGTACAAAATTCATGGTAATATATAATTTACACGAAAATGTATACCGCGTGAGAAATGTCTTTGTACACCAAAAAGTATATCATTAAATACGTAATATATATATATATAAATTTATTTTCCTATATTAAATTTTCTTCCTCAGCACTTCGTAATACAATATATGTATATAATATGTATAACATAAAATAAGAGCTTTTATAACGTTATGCAAAGTAGGACAAGGAAAGGGATATTAAATTTTCGCCACCTTTGTGAAACACGTGGCGTGTAATGTCTACTGAATATTACATCGGGAAGATCGTGAGAGACGAGGAGATTTTGGGGAACATTTCTCATTTACGTCCTACTTACCGGTAATCCTGGGGGTCCTTGAATACCGGGATCGCCGTCGGTTCCGTTGAGCCCCGGCAAGCCCTGCAACCCCGACTCTCCTTGGGCCCTGAAAAGCGAATTTGCCGGCCGTGAGATGCCGGTTGTTCGTTCGCCGAAGTTGGATTAATTCGCGCGAGCGCGTACGATCGATGTAATTCTCGTAATTTCGTAAACGCGAGGCAAAAAGGCCCTCGTCCCCCTTTCTTCTCTTCCGTTGTGTTTCTTCACTTCCTGACTTCTCATTTCGCCCCGAGTGATTCTCCGTGCTCGGAATACTTCTAGTGTGTTTATTTTATCTCGAAAGAATGATTTTTCCCGAGAGATCAGAGAATACTTGATGTTTATTGTCGATTTAAGATTTAAGTATCGTTTTCTCTTCGTGGAAGACGACTTGTAATATATATATATCCTGGGTGTCCGGTAACTAACGGACCAACGATTACAAATGGATTCTTTGGTCAATTTGGGAACGATTTTTCCTCAGCGAAAATGTCGAAACAGGTCATCATTTTTTACAACTTTCCAATATTTGTCATTATGTATCTTTATAACTAAGCCTCAAGTTAAAATTTTATTATAGTAAACTCTATCTGAAATTAACTGAAGAATGTAATTATGTTAGACTTCAAAACGTTTAGTTTTCAAAAAACCCATTTTTTTCAATCGTTTATAACTCGAAAATTATTGACTTCTCAACATTTTTGCTAAGGAAAAATCGTCTCCAAATTGGCCAGAGAATCCGCCCTTAATCATTGATCCGTTAGTTACCGGACACCCTGTATATAAGTATTGAATTTGTATGATTTGTCTGTAGAGTTAAAAATGTGGTTGATCAGCAATATGCCTTTGTATGCATTGACAAATTATTATTATTGTGTTTTATTTGTATGTCGCTTTTAAAACGACAGTCAATGAAATATTGTCAATAAATTAATATCTTTTGTATAAATACTTTCTGTCGATGCTTTGATTGATATTACGAAAAGCATTCATCAAAAATTTGTCGCGTCGATTATCCTTTAATGTTTGTCATTAAACGCGCAATATTGATGCAATAATGATTAAATAAATATCGTGTGTAATGTTTTTTAGGAAACATTTAATTAAATCTTTCGAACAAATGAATTAATATTAAATAATATGAAAGTTATTAACTTTAACTTTTGATTTTTCACGGAAGACGAAGTCGGAGTATTACATTCGAAAGAGATTATAGGGGGAGGAGGGTTGCTACAAATTCTTTTCTCGAAAGCCAACGCGCTGGGTCGTTTTCAAGTTTCGTGAGAGAACTTTTCGAATCGTTTTGTCATTAAATATCTTGAACAAGAAACTTTGAATTGATCTTATGTTCGCGTGTCCATTGCACTTGCACCATTCTCTGGTATGTTCATATAATCAGGTGGAAGAATAGGATCCTTCAACATGATATTTCACACCTACACCACACGAGAAATCCTATTCTTTCACATACAATTATACAGATATCAACTGCAATTGACTGAAATGGAGCGATATGTCAAAAAAATTATTTTTCCTCACATCATAAATTTTTGAAAAATAAATATAATTTAACAGAAAAATAAATACATTTCAACCAAAAAAGGGAAAAAAACTGGTTAGCAGCATTAATCAGCAGCGAGCGCGAAATATTTGATGGTAAAAAAAAAAAAAAAAAAAAATATCGCGCTGCTAACCATCGTTCTGGAGAAAATTACGAATCCCCATAATTTTTGGTCACGCACAGAGCGGAGAGGCGCGGCCAAAGGTACGAAGGACGAGGAGCGGCGAATCCTCGTGGGAAGGACCCACGAAGAAATCCGCGTCCTGGCCACGAAGTGAGAGAGAGGACGGACGCGATCGTTTTCTCTCGAACGCTTATCCTCCGTTTATCCCGTCGATTTTCCGCCGCGATTGGACGGTATTATCTCTACCTTGTGAACCCGCGTCTCCCTTGCCGCCCTTTTCGCCTTGGTAACCCCGTTCGCCGGGCTCACCCTTCGGACCCGGAATGCCGAGAACACCTCTCGCCAATGTCACACCGCTCTCACCCTTGAAACCCTACAATGACACTGCAAGGTCAGATTCAACCAGGTCCTCCATGTGCGCTGTCAATTTTTTTTTTTTTTTTTGCTTCGACGAAGCGTTAATCTGTCTTCTTTTAGAGAGGAAGGAGAGAAGGATGGGATGGTGCCTCGAGATCTACGTCGATGATGTCGGACGATTTTGGCGCTGCGTATCGTTGAATCATTTTCGTATTGAGTTTGCATGATTATTCGTTCGATATTTCGAGAACCAAAATCGTCCAGCTATTTTTTTTTTTTTTTGCACTACACAATTAAACACACTTGTGATTGAAACAACTATCAGTGTTTGACGTAGACAACGACTACTAATACTCATGCGACTAGGAAAGATTCGTTAGTGGGTTCAAATTTAGTAGAAAATTGGAAACTACTAATATCTCTCGTTCTCTCTTGTGCTTCGCGATAGCATCTGTATGATTTATATAATCTCTTCCTATAATTACAACCTGTAGAGTCGGTCTCGCTGGATTAATAGGATCGTTTCTCGTTCGCAAAACGCAAAAAAATATCCCATAAATTTTCAACATATTACTTCTTATTGGTAATTTTAGACGACAGTAAAAATTTTCAATTTTATTCGTTGAAACGTTATGCAATATAATTTGGACACTTTGAAATATGATTAACAACTCTATATTATAATTAAATATATAAAGCTCTTTATTTAAATCAATATTATAATTAAATATACAAATTTATATAATTGAAATTTAACGCTGTATTAATGAAAAAATTAATGTGAGAGATTGTGAGAGAGAAAGAGAGGAGGCGAATAAGGGAAAAGACACACAGACAGAAAAAAAGTATTACATAAAAATAGGTAAAAATTAATATTGCGCGTGTGTAGACGAGCGTAGGTAGAGATGTCTCGTGATCGCGACAGAGTAAGCTACATACTTTGATAGATTTGGAATACTTACGCGATAGCCTGCAGGCGTTTGCGATCGCCAGTTGATAAGGTTGCGAGAGCCTCAACACAACAACAAGCCGAGGGGTAGTAGTGGTTATTAGTGATTAGTGAATCGAACCGACACACGAGGAAGAAGTAGTGGGGGTGTTGTTACTCGCTACATAAACACAAATTAGTTACACAAGCTACGTACACTACTAGCCGAGGATCGCTACCAACTAACTGTACATACACACACACACACACACACACTGTTACAAGCGATCAATATATTGTCCCAAAAAGGGGTTGTAAAGAAATATAATGCTCAACAAAAAATATATTTCAGAGATGCTACAATAAATCTGGAATACAATTTTTTCTTTGGCAAGAATATTTGAAAAAAATCGCTGATTTCTCTCCAATATTTTATAAAACTTTTAACGTTAAACACTTCATCAAGAACATTTTAAATGAAGTTTCTGTTTGTCGATAAAATCAATTTAAAATTAATTTAAAAATTAGCTAAAATTTATTGCATAAAGATGAAAAGTTTTCATATTAGAAAAAAATCGACGTCACAAATTGTCCATCTCTGAAAGGTTTTGGATTACTCTGTACGTATGTTAGCTGTAGTTAAGTGTATATACTTGGCCGCGGCTTTGCAATCGGGACGCACGCAGCGCATCCAAATCCCGAGTCCACGTCTCGTTAGAGAGGCAAATGGAGCGGATGGACGAAGTTGCGAGCAAGTTTGCTTCGTGGTCGAATGGCGAATTTTACGGTTCGATGAGTCGAAGGTAAGTATTGCGGGCGGACATGTATATCCGCGAGTTTAACGCCGCGGTTCGACCGGCAAAGTTGTTCCAAAGGGTAATTCTCAGCGCGCGAAACTTAGTAAATTTGCAATTGGTGCTGTAGCATTACAAGATTGCGTTGATTTTGCAATTAATTCCATTCCTTACATATAAACACAAGTTTTCATTGATCGCGAAAATATCTCACGATGTTATAGCAACGAAAAACTGCGTTTATATTAAGAAAATCCTTGTCGTGAAAAAAAAAAAAAAATATTCTTGTGAAATGAAAAGATTTTTAAAAATTTTTGGTGCAGTAAAATTTACTAAAATTTGTCAAGTATTATCTTTGGCTTGCATGTTAATTTAATTTAATCTCTACATTGGACACATTTTTTCAGCAAAAGACGCGAAATTCATGGAATATTCGTTTTTCATTTATTAGGCTAAATTCTGTTGCATTTTTAATGTTATACATGAAAAATTTCACATCAAAAGTGTTCTCCGACTGTACACTAAGCATTCCATAAAAAATGGCTCAATGCAAATCCGAAAATAAAATACGAGAGAGAAATTACATATAATAACTTCTAAATAGAACTCTTTTCGCTTGCAAATGCATAAAATTAGCAGACAAATTTTGTGTTACTTAAATAAGAAACACATTTTTAATTACATATTAAATATCTATCACATGAATATGTTTAAAAATTGATATTGTTGCTTTGTATAAAATTTCAGAAGGAAAAAGAATCGTACTTCATGTCAGTCGAATTTATTTGATGAAAAATTTCTTTCATAAAATTTATAGCTTTTTCTGGCAGATCTCAACTATTTAAACTAGAAAATATAACAGATTCTTTCTCTCTCATTTATATGTTCCGGAAGTGTTAAAATACTAAAAAATATACGGTAAAAATGATAATTGTCATAAAAAGCAAGAAACAACATAAAATTATATATTTTTTGTTAGCCACAATAACATTTCATTAAAACGAATAAAATTATGTTAAAATAATCATATATCGTGAAAAAAATAACTTTTAAAAAATTATATGTCCCTTGTAATAATTTTATCGATAAAATTATATATTCAAAATCATGTTTCAGTCAATAGTTTGAAACACGTTAAATGCCACGGTGGTCGCTGGTAACCAGCAAAATCAGGCCGACATGTCTCATTAATTTACGGTCCAACCACGAGCATGTAGGAAATTACCGTATCGTCAATATAGAGTCAATTAACAAGCCAGCTATAATAAAGTATTTCGCACATAGTTTATGTATACATAATTAAAGCTAATCTCTAAATTTTTTTTAAACTCAACTCGTATATACCTTCTAGTCCAAATTCATCAAGTTCACCAATGCCGCGATTCGATCCACGTGAATGAACACGTTTAAGGATGCGCCCGCATGGTCGCCGTTTGCAATTAGCCGCATAGAGAGTTACGATCGCTCGGCAGAACTACGTATATACTTACGGTGGACTCGAAAGAGTAGTATAGTCGCACGCCAAGCGGTAGTTTACGGATGTTAGACGCGTAGGCGTGTATAATTCGGCCGGAAGGAGAGAGCGCTTAAGCCCACCACCCTCTTGCTTGCTCGTTTGCCAACCAGGGTTCACACAGCCTGCGGTTCGCGAGCCCCCGGAGATGCCCCGGTGATGCTGCGTGCGAGCGCGGAGACGATCGACGTCTCGCGCGTCTTGGACGAAGGGTAAAAAAAAAATAACAACGAAAGAAAGTTAAGGGGAGAACCGAGGAGAAGCCTCGGATACCACAATATCCGTACGTGTTATTTGCTGCCACCAACGTTTTTTTTTTTTTTCCATCTACTTTTCTTTCCGTTTTCCTGCTATTCCTGTTATTTCGTTCTTTTATTATTCTCTCTTTGCTGTTACTCTTTATTTGCTTTCTCTTTTTTTCTATTTCATGGGACGAAAAACGAGTCCCGACAATCGCTCGAGGTATATGTATGCAATTCCGGAGAACGGGCAACGAGCGCGCGAGAAAAGTTCCGACAAAAGCGTGAAAAAATATCGAATGTGTAGAAAATATATACAATTTCGCGAATTAAATGGCAACAAAAAGTAACAGCTGCGTTTTTCAATATAAATAATATCTATGTAATAGAATATTTTGTAGCCAATATTTTCAAAGCAATAATATCAATCCTGAATTTGATATTCTATGCACGATGTTTCTGAATTTGATTTGATTTATCAATTTTATTTCAATTCTAAATGTATGGACGCGCGTGCGATCATATTTAAAAGTTATTCATATATTTTTTGTTGACATTACTTTTGTTATTCGAGTTCCAGTAATCGAAAAAGAAATTAATGATGAATCGACCAATTAGAGATGTATAGCACGATATTCAAGTTTCTTTTCAATTTTAACGGAAAATATAAATATGAATATTTTTTATCGTCGCGTGTTCGTGTTATTTTGATATGCCGACAGGAGTGTAAACATTTCCGAAAAGTGCGAGATTACAAATCGCCTCACGGCGAAGGAACTTCCTCGGCTCGTAACCGTCCCGGTGATGATGCTGTTCAACTGCAGCTTATTCGACGATGCAAGTGTGACGGCGTGATATATACGTGCTCATGCTCGCGTGACTGCGTGAGGAGTGCCGTGCACGCGCGCGGTGAAGCATTTCATAGCACGACTAAGTCACTCGTTTTCTCGATTATAGAGAGTGAGAGAGAGAGAGAGAGAGAGTGAGAGAAAGATCTTGAGATTACAAATCTAATATTCCTGGAAAACGCGAAACGTCAGCGAGCTCGAAAGTAGGGCAAAAGAAACCAAGAAGGCGAAAGAAACCAAAGAAAAGACAAAAAAGAACATTTCACGCAGAAAAGAGAATTACGGCATTATTCTCCGAATTGGAGAGAGAGGAGAGAGAGTTATTTAATCGATAAAAGAAAAATTAAATAAAATAAAAGATTGATGATTGAAATTTTCCGAAAAAGTGGAAGTTTAATATAATGATGTTAAAAATGTCGCCGCATTAATACAAAAATAAATTAAATTTTCGATTAATTTTTTAGATTATAATTTTTCTCAAAAATGAAATACGAGCAGATAAACGAAATGCAATAAAATCAAAGTATATATAACGTTGAACGACACGAGAAGCGTTCCTCCAATTAAAACGTGAAATTAAGGATGACATAATCAGAAATATCAAATCAGAGGGGCCGCGTCGGAAACTCGAGACTTCGCTGGCTTTTTAAACCCTTGTATTATATGTATATACATATATACTAGAAAGGCACTGTGACACAGTATAAAAACAGACAATATTTCACACGGAAGAAAGCTACGACACTTCATGCTTCGCTCATATAGATCCAATAGTGAATCCAAGTCAAGAACATGCGGTTATCAACAAGTTTGGACGTGAATGCCCGATATATATAGACATATTTTATATATAACTATATAGTATATTTATAGATATATATATATATATATACACATATATATATATAATACAATACATATACATATATACATATATTAATATATATATATAAATATATATATATATATATATATATATGTCGTGCGAAATAACGGGGACAGAATTTCAAGCGTATGCATACTTTGAGGACATTTGTATACTTTGGGGACAGGCCTCAAACTAATCACATATCAAACGTATGGTTTGAGGACATGTCCCATATGTCCAGCGTATATTTTGGGACACTCTTTTTTCAATTGCAAACCATATTAGATAAACTCCCAAAGTTTGATAATTGTCATTTTTAAAAATAAAACAATATTTTGGGTGTTAAAGCATTTTTTATACTCAACGTTTACTTTGAGGACTCATAAATGAAATGTATATTTCGAGGACATGCTCTCATATGTTCAGCGTATATTTCGAGGACATGTCCTCATATGTCCAGCGTATATTTTGGGACACCCTATTTTTTCAATTGCAAACCATATTAGATAAACTCCCAAAGTTTAGATAATTGTCATTTTTAAAAATAAAACAATATTTTGGGTGTTAAAGCATTTTTTATACTCAACGTTTACTCTGAGGACTCATAAATGAAATGTATATTTCGAGAACATGTCCTCGAATTATACTTTAAATATATTATTCAGCGGTGTCTCGAAATAATACATTCATTTATGTAGTTTATATATTGTGAGTTTACTTCGAGGTCATCTTTTATATAATTTATTTACTCTGAGAACTCAAATGAAATGTATATTTCGAGGACATGTCTTCGAATTATACTTTAAATATATTATTTAGCGGTGTCCCGAAATAATACAACTGCCCGACTCGCGTTAAGATACACGGTGTCTCGTCGGCTACGCCCTTAACTGGTCGTGAGACACTACCGTGTCTCTTGATTCATTTATGTAGTTTATATATTGTGAACTTACTTCGAGGTCATCTTTTATTATAATTTATCTGGTCCGTTCCGTATACTTTGAAGACTTGTAAAATATAATTAGAAACTATACTTTAGAGAGATCAAATATGATGTAAAATTTATAGTTTGAATACATATACGTAGTTTTTGAAAATTTCAAACCTTAATAAAATGTATTTTTCTAGGATATAAGAAGCCTTCAAATTATACTTTTAATATATTATTTGGCAATTAAAATAAGGTGTCCCGAAATAATACTTTCAAATTTTACATAGTTTATATAATCAGAATACACAATTCACAATATTTACATTTAACTCAGAGTTGGGACCGTCACTCTGAAAAAGTAACACATTACTGTTACAATTACTTATTGTAAAAAGTAACTTATTACCGTTATTCGTTATTAATTTTAAAAAGTAACGCGTTACCGTTATTATTACTTAGAAAGTAACGATTCGTTATTTTTTCGTTACTTTTTGTTACGTTTTCATTTTTTGTAATGCTAAAAAGTAAGCTATTGGATTTTAAAATTCTCTTACTTAATAATCTATATTAAATATAATAATATATGTTACAATTAAAAACTCTGAATTAGTCTTTGGCAAATGTATATAGCATATATAGTAAGATAATAAGGAATTAAAAAGTAACTAACCACTAATTCGTTACCGTTACTATAAAAATGTAACGACGTCTTATATCGTTACCGTGACAAACAAATAAATTTGTAATAATTATTAATTAAGTTATTAATTAAAATATTTAAGCGAATAAGCGAGTGGAAAGCGATAGACCGAAATCGGTGAGCATGTAGGGCTTATTTGTTTACGTCGCTTAATAACAAAAGTATCATCTTACTTTTCGGCGCGGCGGCATTGCTCGCCGCTCGCTGCATGACTCTGCCTCTCGATCAGATAATGCTTTTGTTACTAAAAGACGTAAATAAATAAGTCATCGTACATGCCCACCGATTCTGGCCTACCGCTTTCTACCCACTCATTCGCTAGATATTTTTATTAATAACTCAATAATTATTGCAAGTTTAGCGAAATGATACAGGACTTTTCTATTCAGTTTAACATGCTGTACCCGTTCACGAAAGATAGTTCGCGAATTATGGGATACCCTGTATATTTACGTTTCTCATCCGAAATTACTCGTTGACGCACGAATTTCGTGTTGCCTTCCTGCAATTTCTGTCCTTTTTATTAAGGTCTTAAAATTTCGTATATCTAACAATAAATTTGTATATTGTATATGGTCGATTAAGAAATTAAGCACATGAAACAACGCCGAATACTCGAGCCTCGAGCAATACACGGAATTATTCTTTTTCTTTTCAGCGGTCCGTTCTGTTTTCTCTATCAGTCTCATGTACATGTCCTACATATCTCATCCCCATCTCTCTCTCTCTCTCTCTCTCTCTCTCTCTCTCTCTCTCTCTAATGACAATTGAGATAAAATTCTTTATAACTTTAAAGACGTAAGAAACATTTATAAAGTATAATTTGAAGCCAGAAAATATAATAACTAAAATATAATTTGGAAATTATTTTTAACTAGATTTATACTTGTTTACTACTTTGGGAACAATGAGAATTTTCGGACATTTATAGAAAACTAATTCGATTTATATAACTTTAGAAACAAGTTAGATATATATTATTTATTTTATTTAGGAACATTTATATATTAAAATATTACATGTAAAAGAGTATATATCTTTTATATATGAACATTTGTAGGACTAAAAATGTCCTCCGTTTTGTACTTTTGCAATAAGTAAGGAGAAATTAATTTAAGAAGTCGGTCTATCCGCGCGAATAAAAGCGTACAGCGAAAAGAAACCGTTTACTACCTTGATACAAAGCGCACAGTGAAGCAATGGAAAAAGCACTCAGCTCGATATTCAATATGTTAATGTTTTCTCCGATTATAATAGAAAATTGATAATTGACCGTCAATCGTTCTATTTTTGACCTAGTTTAACCCGTTCTATTTCTATGACAAATAAAACGATTGATCTGGAACACCTTGTATAATATATAATAATAAGATTTATGAAATTAAATTAATTTCTACAATTATCAATTTTCTATTATAATCGGAGAAAACATTAACATATTGAATATCGAGCTGAGTGCTTTTTCCATTGCTTCACTGTGCGCTTTGTATCAAGGTAGTAAACGGTTTCTTTTCGCTGTACGCTTTTATTCGCGCGGATAGACCGACTTCTTAAATTAATTTCTCCTTACTTATTGCAAAAGTACAAAACGGAGGACATTTTTAGTCCTACAAATGTTCATATATAAAAGATATATACTCTTTTACATGTAATATTTTAATATATAAATGTTCCTAAATAAAATAAATAATATATATCTAACTTGTTTCTAAAGTTATATAAATCGAATTAGTTTTCTATAAATGTCCGAAAATTCTCATTGTTCCCAAAGTATACGTAGAAACAAGTATAAATCTAGTTAAAAATAATTTCCAAATTATATTTTAGTTATTATATTTTCTGGCTTCAAATTATACTTTATAAATGTTTCTTACGTCTTTAAAGTTATAAAGAATTTTATCTCAATTGTCATTAGAGAGAGAGAGAGAGAGAGAGAGAGAGAGAGAGAGAGAGAGATGGGGATGAGATATGTAGGACATGTACATGAGACTGATAGAGAAAACAGAACGGACCGCTGAAAAGAAAAAGAATAATTCCGTGTATTGCTCGAGGCTCGAGTATTCGGCGTTGTTTCATGTGCTTAATTTCTTAATCGACCATATACAATATACAAATTTATTGTTAGATATACGAAATTTTAAGACCTTAATAAAAAGGACAGAAATTGCAGGAAGGCAACACGAAATTCGTGCGTCAACGAGTAATTTCGGATGAGAAACGTAAATATACAGGGTATCCCATAATTCGCGAACTATCTTTCGTGAACGGGTACAGCATGTTAAACTGAATAGAAAAGTCCTGTATCATTTCGCTAAACTTGCAATAATTATTGAGTTATTAATAAAAATATCTAGCGAATGAGTGGGTAGAAAGCGGTAGGCCAGAATCGGTGGGCATGTACGATGACTTATTTATTTACGTCTTTTA